CACACACACACACACACACACACACACACACACACACCACACACCACACACACACAGAATTTAATTTTTAGTTTTTGTTTGCTTGGTTTTTATTTGAATGGCTCTTCATTCCCCTATATAAACACCTTGGAGAACTACTTCATCTTTTTTGTTGTTGTTGTTAATCCTCACCAAAGATATTTTTTCCATTGATTTTTAGAGAGAGTAGGAGGGAGAGAGGGGGAAAGAGAAAGAGAGAGAGAGGGAAAAGAGAAAAGAGAAAGAGAGAGACACATCAATTTGTAGCCTCCTGCATGAGCCCTGGCCAGGGTATGTACAACCCAGGTACGTGCCCTTGACCAGAATCAAAAGCCAGGAAAACCATTCATTGTGGAGTCAAATTAGATTTTGTGAAGAACAGCAACCCCAACAATCTCTAAAGCACTGGAGTGACTACTGAGACCCCCCCCTCCCCAGTCTTCCTTCCCCCTCCCTGGCCTCCCTTGACCCCCTCCTCACATCCCTGTCTACCTGCAGACAGGACTGGGACACAGAATCGTTTTGCTTTACATTACTTACTTCAATCCCAAAGTATTGTCTTCTATTTTTCTCTGTTATAAAATACCTTTAGCTACATTAAAAGAAAGTTAAAAGAACACAGGCAACTCTACTTTTTTCAAATTCACTCAAAGTTTCCGGTAACTGACCTTTTAACAAGCTTTTGGAAATCAGATTATTTTAAATTAGGAACTTTCTGAAGCATAAACCTGTATTTGGCAGAGATCAGGTAGATATCGATACGTTATGCTATAATCTCTAACGGTCCCACCCAACTCTTAAAATTCCATTTAATGATTTAATTTCTTTTTAGGCAAAAAAGAAGTTTCTCAATCTCAGCAATCCAGACATTTCGATCCTTATAAATCCTTAATGCAGGAGCTGCTGTGTGTAGCAGCCTCCCTGGCCTCTGCCCATAAGTAGCCCCTCCTCCTCGGGTACGGCAACCAAAACCTCCCCAGTTGAGAACCACTATTTTAAGCTAAAATCTGAGCTCTGGGGTCTGGACAAGAGCAATAACCCAGCATCACGCTTCAGGTGAGGTTTAGCCAGGACGTGAGCCTGAAGCACTCCCTGGAGCGGAGGACCCCAAGCCTGGTTCACCACCAGAAGCCCCTGGGGACTTTGCCAAGTGCCAATTCCTGGGCCGGCCTCCACCCTTCTAAATCAGAAGCTCTACAATGGCGCCTGGGAATTTAATCTTCAAACGAGTTCCTGGAAGCAATCCGTGAGCAAATATTGAACTGAACTTAATGACATGCACATTGGGTGTGTAGGACTGAAGTGCACTGATGCCTATCACACACTCTGAAATACATCCAAACATAAGATGGATGGATGAGGGGATCAAGAGGCAATGCCGCAAGAACAGTACAATGTTAATTGTGGAATCTAGAGCGAGGGTGCTCAGGAGCTCACTGTACAGTCTTCCAGCTCTCCTGCAGATGTGAGATTTTCCATAATGAAACACTGGAGGGAAAACTGGAGCACTTCTGATGATGGGCAGGATTTGAAAAACCACTGAAACAGAATGGATCCAACTCCTCTCTTGGTTGAAGGACACGGACTCTCAGCTCTCACGTTACCCATTATGCAGTAAGCCAGCGTAACTCAAGAAAGTCAAGAGAACAAATCCAAACCTCAAACAGGATTGAAAGAAAGTCCACTGGCCCTCTTCCCTCTGTGGCCTTGCCACCTGTTGCCCTCAATCCTCAGATTCCATTAAAATAAAACGAAATCTACCACCTGGCCTAATTTCATTTCAGTTTTCTTGTTAATTGTCCTAAGACTGAGGCAGAATTTTTCACAGGACACGGAAGTTGTTTTATCCTTTACTGTGTCTAATTTTAGAAAGGAGCGTGTCCCATTATATATTAAGAATAAAAGTTAAGGGTTTGTTCTTCACGAGACACTAGCCACCAAGTCTGCCTCCCCACACTGCAGTTTATACAACTCCAATTACTAACACCCTGCCCGTCTGGCTTCATCCCAAAACACACCTTCAGCTCGCATATTTGTGGGCTTCTCAACTTATTAACAAATCCTGACCACAAAAAATGGACAGGTAACGTTTCCACTGAACCACAGTTTAAGCAATCAGGGGAAACGCTGTGTAGTAATCGAGGGCACTGTGTTTACCAAATGGCATGCTCGTGTGTGTCTCTCGATGTCAGCAATGGTGATTTTCCATGGCGCTTTGTGCCAACCGAATGATTACTCTGTGCGGCTAGACCGAGGAAAGTCAGTGACAAAATACATGATCTCCAGCTACCTCTGAAAAGTAAAAATAAAAAGTTCTTAACACTACCTCCTGGAATCTCATACCTTTTACATTTCCCTTTTGCTTTCTAGTATAGGACATCCCTGATACTATGCTGCTCTGTGGTCCTAAAACTGCACCACAAATTGGATCTCTGCAAGGCATACTCCCTCCTAAGAGAAGGATGGGGTAAAATGAGTCCACCATAGAAAGCATTTGAAATGTAAACAGGTTTATTATTTTGTCTTAATAACTGCATGTCAGTCCAACTCTTCGCCTAGGGAGAAGGCTCCCTCTCTCTCTGCCCCCTCCCCTTTTCGTATTTCCCAGCATCCTCTTGCTCTGAGCCAATCATCTGTTACATATTGAAGTGTTTACAGGCAACACTGGCTAGATGTCTCAGTATCCTCTCTTCTGTTTCCTCGTCATTGGGCTCCATCTCCTTGTTTTAACATGCAGCCCCATTCCTTCTATCAAGTTCACTAGCAGAGGACAAGATTTTTTTTTATTCTTTAAAACAAATTATCCTTGCTTACTTTGTAATCACTTGCTCAACGTTGGCGTCTCACACCATCGTCCATCAAACAGATGGGTTTTGATAGCCTCAACTTGCCCAAGATCATTTCTATGGCTTTTTTCTTCATGGTGCTACTTAAATTTTTTTCCTTAGCATGGTTTTGGGAGTATAAGAGCAAAATGACAAGCAGTGAGAATGGAGAGAAATATTTTTAGGTCCCACAGTGAGGAAAGCTTAGGCTCCTGTGTTAGGTGGAGGGGTGCCTATGGCCCTCACTACCCTCTAAACTGAGAAAGGAGGAACACTGCTATGTGCTCCCTTGATCCAGCAATATCGAAACAGACCTGCCAGTAGCAGTAGGGTGGATAAAGAAAAAGAAATGCAGATTTAAGAAGTCTACACAAAGAACAAATGTTTGTACAAGCCAGATACTGAAGCTTAAAGCACTGTTACCTTAACACCTTAGCTGCATCTGGATTGCCCTTATCTACATATGAGAGATTTAATTCATACATATGATAAAATCCATCCTTTTAAGGAATATAATTCATTGACTTTTGATATATTTACTAAACTGTACCTCTATCACTATTAGATAATCCCAGAAAAACTTTGTCACCTGAAAAGAAACTCTATACCCACAGTCACCAGCCTTCGGCAAGCACTAAGCTACCTTGTATGTCTAAGAATTTGCCTATTCTGGACATTTCAAATAAATGTGTGGCCTTTTGTGCTTGGCTTCTTTCACCTACTATAGTGTTTTCCATGTTCATCCATGTTGTACAATTTATCTGACCTTTATTTTTTATTGGCTGAATAATATTCCGTAGTATGGATAGACCACATTTTGTTTATACATTCATATCCTTGCACCCTTACTGAAAAAAAACAATTGATCATAAATGTAAGGGTTTATTTTTGGAATCTCAATTCTATTCCACTGATCGATATGATCATCCTGTTGCTTTGCAGTAAGTTTATAAACTGAAAATTGTAAGTCCTCCAATTATATTCTTCTTTTCCAAAACCACTTTAGATATTCTAAGGCCCTTGAATTTCCAAGTAAATCTTAGGGAGGAAAAAAAACAGATGAGATTTTATAGGTATTGCACTGAATATATAGGTCAAATTGGGGGGTACTGTGATTTTAACAATACATCTTCCAATCCATGAACATGGGATGTGTTTCCATTCTGAAACCTTGCTGAACTTATTTGTTCAAGTTGTTTTGTGTTCTTTTTGGAGATGCTTTATGGTCTCCTATATACAAAATCATGTTATCTATTATCAGAGATAGTTTTACTTCTTCTTTTCCAATCTCAATGTTTTTTTTTATTTTTTAACTAATTGTACTGATTAGAAATCTCTAATACAATGTTGCATAGAAAGATGAGAATGGCCATCTTTGTCTTGCTCATGATCTTAGCAGACACCTTCTAGTTTTTTTCACCATTAAGTACAATGTTTGATGAAGATTTTTCATAGATAGCATTTATTCCTATCTATTCCTAGTTTGTTGATTGTTCTTATCATGAAAGGGTATTGAACTCTGTTAAATGGTTTTTCTCCATCTATTGAGATGACTGTGTGGCTTTTATCTTTTATTTTATTAACATAGTATAATACATTTTTATATGGTAAACTAAGTTTTTCATTCGTGAGAAAATTACATTTGGTCATGGTGTACAATCCCTTTTTATATGTATTGGGGCATGGCTTCGATGATCTGCCAGATGGTTTGTAACTCTACCTTAGTCTTCACTGTGAACAGAAAGCCTCAAAATCAGCCAGAGGTGAGAATTCAGGGCCTTCTCAGGTCTTTCCTGGGCATGTGCAGAGCCTTGTACATTCCCAGGAATGTGTGGGATCGAATACCCCAACATGACCACCACCCAAAAGAAAAGTCTGTACAAAATTAATCCAAAATCAATAAAAATAAGCCTCTGATGGATATTTCATCCCCAGGTTTTTGTTTTAGTATATTTTGGCTCCAATTAGCAAGACCATCTCAGGCAGCTGAGGTTAAACAATTGCAACTGATTGTTTTCAACAAATGCTCAGTTGCAAAATGAGCCCTTGATGCAAAGTGAGCTCTAAGTCAGGTCAAAAGAAAACAGCCTTATGAATGGAGCTTTTAAGCAAGCTGCCAGATAGGTCAAATAGTAATGTTTCTTTGGAGTGGGCCTTTTGGGAAGCTCCAATTCTGTTCTGCCCTGTCCAGTGGCTACTACACTGCTGAATTTCCCAGCTGCCATATTTGCTTGGCTGTTGGCTTTCAAGGCCACAGTGGAGTTGGGGCAAAGGGAGATGGGACCAGCACAAGTTAAAACACCACACAGGTTCACTGCTATAGAGATCGCATTGCTTCTTGAACAAATATTCCTCAGACTGTTGCAAGTCTGTAGCAATCTTCCAGGGTTCTGAAAAAGTTGATATCGATAGATGTGGCCAGTGTTCTCAATACTTTTATGTAATAAACCTTCAAAGGGCCTCACTCCGCCATTCTGGGAGTCTAGGGCCCTTATCTTATTTTTACATGAAATTTTAGTGGGGTTTTTACCTATATTTTAACTCCGTATTACAACATTAACATTTCCTATCATGTTCTGGGAAACTTGTTTCGTTCACAGCATGCACAAGAAAGATCTGGAAAATTCACAGTCACTACTCTCTGTGCAGCCAAACTTTGTTCCAGGGGAATCCCTAGGACTGCCTCCTAAAACTGAGCTTACAAACGAGAAAAACGATTAGCATCTGGGGTACTTTCAGTAATAAGTTTCCCACATTACTAAATTTACACTGACTTCAATATCTGAAAGTTGGTTCCTGGTGAGATGGCTCCAATTTCAATTCTAACCTCGCTGGCGCTCAGCTACTTGAAAAGTCATGGAAATAAAAGCTTAACGATTGTGCTCATCATGCTGTTAACACTTGCTGAGGAAGGGCATTGGGAGACAGTCATATTTTCTAATAATCCATTCTAGAGAAAAGTTTCTAACAAGGAGCCATGGGGGGGGGAGGGGGGAGACATCCTTTTCTTTATTTCTTTTTTTAATCCTCATCCAAGGATATGTTTGTTGATTTTAGAGAAAGAAAAAGCAAGAGGGAGGGAGAAACATGGATGTGAAAAATATCGTTTGCCTCCTGAACACACCCCAACCGAGGATCGAACCCGAAACCTAGATAACCACGTCCTTTTCAAAAGGAGAATTAAAGAACCCAGTGGTCTCAGGCCCTGCTCTGTGTCCAACAATGACAGTGTGTTCCCATCACTTCAAGGCCAGGCCAGGTCCATGGCCATCTACCTCACTGACATCGCTTAAGCTTCCACCTTTCTTCGACAAGTAACGGGAAAAGAGAAGAAGAAATAGAAAAACTGGGAGCTTTGGCATTTCCCCCTTGTAGGTCTCCTTAAAGAATGATTCTAAGGCAATACATAAGACCTAGCACAAGACCCTAATTAAGAGAATTTGCTCACTTTTATCTTTTATCACTTATCAGAATTATATCCTCTCTTTCCTCACTTTGCAAATAACAGCCATTTTTCTATCTGCTGAGACTAATAAATGAGGACTGAGAATGGTGGCAGAGATGTTTCTGTTCTTTGTGCTTAAGAATTCTGCAGCCCCATCACCAAACAGTGCAGCACCATTTTGCCTTCAAGAAGTCCCCCCTCCCTGCCCCACCCCACCCCACGTCAAGCTCAATTTCCCACCCTGACCCAGACCACCTGCATTCTTCTGCTGCCCCACCAGCTGCCATCTGGGATCCCTGCATTCCCAGGTTGGCTGAGAAGTGCCAACTTCCTGGATCACCCCACCTCATCTCATCTCCAATCTGCATAACACGGTAAGACATGTCTTTCTCCAGCTTCCACTACTCAACAGCTCCACTGAGACACGAACTATACATTAGAAAGGACAATATATGTGACAGCCACAAAAGCACCACAAAGCCACTCCCTTACCTCCCAGCTTAGACTTTCATTTCTTAGCTAAGAGACCCTATTCCATGGGAACTACAGGTGTGCCAGGTAAGCCAGGTTTGCCCTCACAGGCCTCCCTAGCCAGGTGTGCTAGGTGTACCAGGGAAGCCAGATGTACCAGGGATGCCAAGCATACCAGGGAAGCCAGGCATACCCTTGCAGGCCCCCTAGTCAGGTGTGCTAGGTGTGCCAGGGAAGCCAGCTATGCCCCACAGGCCCTGGCAGTGGTTCACCCCACCTCCTGCTAGCCATTCCTTTAACCAGAAAATGTCATGTTGGATCATTTCTGATAACCCCTGAAATGAGAATAGCAAAAGGGTATCAGAGAGCTAAGCAGTGGTATTAAGATACTATATCACTTCCTTTTATTGTCACTCTTCAAAGCTGGAGGTCACCAAGGCATTAGATGCATAGATACATTCTCAAAATTGCGTTCAAACCCTTGCAAGTATGATACGTGAATTTGGACTTTTATCCCGGCTTGTTTTAAACAAGGACTACACATTTCTTGAAAATCATAAACTAGCAACATAATTCTTCATGTCAAGTTGCTTCTGTGTAGCTAATTTTGTTAGGCCAAATTCTCACTTGCTCTCCTGTTGTTCTTTCTTGGCAAAAGCCAAAATGCATGTAAGTTCAATGTAAAAAAATGAGCTTTAAAATGTTTAAATTGATAAGATTATTAAAAAACATCTAAAGATGACAAATTCTAAAATATACTCTGGGTATATTGGGAGGGGGGTAGATCTAAGTCTATAAACCTCACAACAGTAAACCCAATCCCCAAACAAGCTACAGCATTCAGTGAGCAAAATCTCTCTGAGACAGTTATTTAATTCCCTAGTGCCCAGAAATCAACGTCAAAAGTAAAAACCAGAACCACATAACTCTATGAAAATGAGGGCTTCAAAAAAGAACTTACAAAAGACTCCAAAAAATATGATATGTAACAGGAAATAGACAAGCAACTGAAGAGAAATAAATAAATATGTATATATCTGTCTAAAAATCTACCAGTAATTTCTGCCCTTTTACTTTTGTCAGAATAAAATTTTACTAAGTTTCTCTCTTGATACTAACTCTACACAGTGTGAATATTAAAGGATGCAACTGATTCTCTTTTAATATAACACTAAGAACTCTAGCATGCCATTCCACCCACCTTGTGACCCTAAACACTTATTTCAATAGTAAGTCATCATTCAACACCTTCTTAAGACCTTCTCCACTGAAGGAGTTGCCACTGAAGCCCATATACCACCACATCCAACGCCCCGGATGGTGGGCAAGTGTACTTTCCCAGGGGATAAATTTAACTTCTAGAAACAGCTTCAAAACCAACCATGGTGATTAAGATGAGTGTTCCATACAGTTAAGACCACTGTAATGAGATGTTGTTGTAAGGTAATGAGGCTAATATGGACAGTACCCTGGTGAAGAAGGCAATTTTGCCAGAGGAAAGGAAAATTACCAAGAAATTCACTGACCCAGGGTTACCCATTAACAGTAAATGCAAGGCTTCCCTAGAAACCACTGTGACAGGCAGTGCTCATTAGGTTGGGTGACATCCAGCACATCTGCTAAAATATATATATATTTTACTGTCATCCCCAGCTAAGAGAAGCAAAAGGAGAAAGGAACTTTTTTAAAGGCAAGATACCAAAGCTACACGGAAAACTAGTGCAAAAAGCAAGTGTTGCTAAGGTGCCAGCTCAACTCTGAGCTGGACCTTGCCAGGGACGTCAGAGCCAATAAGAAATGATTTTTGTTTGCCTTGAGAAAAATATAACAAAAACATTTACTACTTTGAAAATCAGCAAGGTCATCTGAAGATGACGACAATGAAAAGGGGTTGCTAAGGAATGGAAAGAAGAGAAACGAAATTGTGTTATTTTATTAGGGAAATGTGCATACCAAACTACCTTTAAAAGCAAGGACAAAATCTGTGCAGAATCAAATAGCAACAAATGCACATGATGTGTGAGAGCTAACTGACCATCTCAACATAGCTACACTTCTGGGGCCAGGTGAGAGCCACCCACATGCTGCGCATCATGGCTGTGTAATGAATGGCAGCTGAAAGGCAAAATACATCAGCTTTCCAAGAGGCTCCCCCACCCATCATAGGAATTCCCTCCCTGCTGGGTAGGACTTGAGAGCATGAACCACATCTGGCACGGGAAGCCTCAAGCTATGACGATCTTAATATACTGACAGAAGCACATCCTAGATCATCTATCTCTGTGGCCACCTATATCACTGTGTACTCGCCATGATTCTGGAGCTCCCACCAGCCCTTGTATTCATGATCAAGATGGCAACAGTAGCTCTACTGTGTCCCCGGCTACCATGACTTCAGGTCAATGATGTCTTCATGCTCCAGTACCGAGCACAACAGAAGTCTGAGTGATGAAAATAAAGGGAAACAGTATTTTTTCCGGGCGCATGGTAGGTCAGGAAAGGAAGAACTGTCCTAGCAGTCAGTACTTCCTGATCTCGGATGATGAATGTGGTTTTAACATTAAAATCATACAGTTATTCTGAATTAGATTATGCTGGGAATTAGATTTGCAATCAGTTTGCATGTTGGTTATAGTGTAATTAAGGTGATATATGCACCATGAACGTGTTTATTCCTTTCACATTTGGATATATTTTAAGAGACATTATAATAAAAATTATTTAAGGCAACATGTGGAGTCCTCACTGATGTTCTCTCTCTACTTTATTCAAGCTTAAAAAAACATTACAGTGTATTATGTTGCCTGCTATCTCCCCACTGCAGAAAAGAAAACACATGAGGACTTGTTCTTTCCAAGGCAAGCAATATTAGAGTCAGGTATTCCTCACTGGGAAATCTTGGAGCAGAAAAGAAAAAAACCTGAGCCAAATCAGTTAAGCACTGAGTAATATTAGCCCTAATACAGTGAATAAAACGTTTGTCAGTGTATGGTGTTTCTTCAATATTGGACTAAATTTAGAGGTGTTCCTTTAATTGACATCACCCCTTCAATTTCTCTGTCAAAATTTCCTATTACTGCTTTCGGGTTTTACATGTGAATCTAAACAAGAAATTTGAAAAGAAGTCATATTGAGCTCAGTGTTGTGTGTTGCATAATCCAGGCTAGGAACCAATTACGATTAGATGGCAGCAGCAAACAGTAGTGTTAAGTCCTCCTTTCTCCCCATTTTTCCTCAGATTTTGTATTGACCTGGGCCATAGGAAAGCATCAATCCTCCCAACAGAAAGGCCTGCTGTTTGCTTACCGAACTCCATGATGGGAATCCCCTAGGTCAGTGGTCAGCAAACTCCTTAGTCAACAGAGCCAAATATCAACAGTACTTCTTCAAAACAGACTCGCCCAGGCAGAAAACCGACTTCTGCGCATGGGCCACGAAGTTTCAATCGCACTGTACATGCGCGCCCTCACGTGGTATTTTGTGGAAGAGCCACACTCAAGGGGCCAAAGAGCCACATGTGGCTCTCGAGCCGCAGTTTGCCGACCACTGACCTAGGTGCCCTCCCTAAACTTCTACTTTCTAGCAGAACTGTCATCAGATTGGAAGGTGCAGCCAACAGGTGTCCCCCCCAGAGAGGCCCTGCCTGGATTCAGGAGTCCCCACACCTCTCAGGACAACAGACCTGGTGGGGAAAGTACAGAAGCCCAAGCACCAGCCCAAGCCCTGTGTGGCCAGCAAACAAATAAGACTTGGGGCCAACACAAAGCCTTTTTAACACAGAGACGTCATGCCCACAAAAGCACCCATCTCAACCTCAGTGGGCAGCCTCATTCAGACCAGCATCAGGAAACTGTATCTCAAATTGTGTCACCTTGAAAATACTGATAATATGATAAGATGATGGGTTCAACTGTGAGAACTCTGTCCCTACGACTCCCATGTCATGGGCCACCCAGGAAGGCTGCTACATATACATCCAAATCTGCCCAGGGACTAGAGAGTAACCATGAAAAGTGGACAATAGCTGACCAAATTATAAACCTCATGCTTTATCCTGAGTTAGCAAAAGCCCTCTAATCATCTAGACCAGCGGTTCTCAACCTGTGGGTCGCGACCCCTTTGGGGGTCGAACGACCCTTTCACAGGGGTCGCCTAAGACCATCGGAAAACACATATATAATTACATATTGTTTTGTGATTAATCACTATGCTTTAATTATGTTCAATTTGTAACAATGAAATTGGGGGTCACCACAACATGAGGAACTGTATTAAAGGGTAGCGGCATTAGGAAGGTTGAGAACCACTGTTCTAGACCAACTAAAACAGATTCTCAAAAGAGCTTCTCATGTCTAGCAAATCAAGGTGTTTTTAATAGAATAGTTCATCTGCCTCTAACTCCAGAGTAGTTCTATATGGTCCTCCAAATTCCCCTTTTGTCTTGTCCCTCCCAAAAGGGTTATGTCAGAATGAAATTACTGTGAGAAGCCTGAAACAGTTCATATGCACAGGGAATAGTGTTTTGAATTCTACGTTTTGCCTTTTATCTTAACAGTAGTATTTTTAAAGGAAAAGGTGGTATGTGTTCCCGTATTTATATTTGCAGGGGAAAAGCCAACATCTAAATGTTGATCATTTCTGTGAACTCCCTGCTGTAATAAGCCCTTCAGGATTGGAAAATTCGATCCTATGCAGAGCTGATTATAAATAACCACCCTCCTTCCTGCCTCCTCCAGTCTGGAGCCAGCACTACAGAAAAAGAACCCACAGTACAGCATGACTCCTTTTTTGCAGAACTGTGAGGAATACAATAAATGGAAAAGGGCACGTCTGGATTTTCATATTCGAAGACCTGGGTTCAAATCCCAACTCTGGCACTTACTAGCTCTGTGACTTTAGCCAAGCAATGGGTCCTCTGAAAAACATGCAAAATAGCACCTACAATCTCACATGATTGGTTCATGGATTAAACTAAATAACCATGTGAAACTGATATGCGCTGGAGCAGGATTTCTCAGCCTCGTCAGTACTGGCATTGGGGGCTGCACAGTTCTTTGTCATGGGGGCTTGTCCTGGGCACTGCAGGACGTTTAGCAGCAGCATCTCTGGCCCCGATCCCCTAGATGCCAAGAGCACCTCCCCAGTTGTGACAACCAAAAATATCTCCAGGCTTTGGCAAATGGGGGGGAAGGGGGTGTCTACCAGTTTAGAACCAATGCACCTGGCATTTAATAAATACACGTTTTTCTCCCACCCGTGTAGTCCTCTGAAACAAGAAACATGGGGGATTATTCTAGACTCCTCCCTTTTCCTCTCCTAATCAATCAGTAGCCAAATCCAATGCCATCCACCTCCTAAATACCCCCTGCATTTATTCCCCTTGCTTGTTCCCACTGCCCTCCACCACCAACTCTTAGGAGCTATGCCTGGCCAGCTGTGGGGCCTCCTCCGGTCCTCTGCCTGAAATCCGTTCTCCTGCTGCACAGGGAGCATTAGAGAAGCGCAGACTGAAAGAGGTTTCTCAAAATGCCTCGGAGGAAAAAGCCCCTGTTCCGTGAAAAGGCTGTTCTCATATAGCTGCTTCCTCCTTTGACCGCCATGGTCATCCCCTCACTACCCCGCCCACCCTTCAGCAAGCACTCCCCTGAGATACCCACTGGGTGCTTCCACCCATGGGGTCTGGAGCCAATCTGCCTCGGTTCAAGTCCTGGCTCTGCTACTTACTAGCTCTGTGACCCCCAAGCACATTATTTAACCTTTGTGCCTCACTTTTCCCACCTGAAAAATGGAGGGAAAAGTGCCTGCTGCAAAGGCTGTTGTGGAGATTATGTAAATTAGTTTTTGTAAGACACTGAGCACATGGAAAATGCTCAAGTTTTAGCTGTTAGCTTACTTTTTTATCTAAACACTCAGCTCAGGGGTCACTGTTGGAAGCTGGACACCCTGCCATTACATCCACCTTCACATCCCACGCTGAATAGCGCCACCCTGCAGAGCTACTGCTACCACTTCACTGGCCGCAAAAGGTCACGTTGTTTATGTGCCTGTCTCCACCAGTTCAGACCGTCCACAGAGCAAGGACCGCATGCCAGGCTGTCTCAGCCCCTAGCACAGTGTCAGGCCCCATGAGTGGTCCCTCCACGATCTCATCAGATCAGTTGGTCAAAAGGATTATTTTTAAATCCTAATTTGTTCATGCAATAGATGACCCTTCCTTTTTCCTAGTCTACACCAACAGACTTTTACTCTTAACTCTCCTCCTTTCCTAAAATTCTAAGTGAAAAGACCTCCTGCCCCTCCAAGCCCCAAGAGGCAAATCCGTAAAATAGAGGAAAGGGCATAGCCTACTTTGATGGTCTTACACTGGGTTTCTGCGCCCCACCCCCCTGCAATTCCACCCCACAGATTCTTAAAATGGCAAGAAACTGCCCCTGCCCAGACCAGACCATCTGCCACAAGACTGGCAAACGGAGAGGCCACTCCCCCCAGAGCAGCAGGAACATTATGAAATGTGGGACTTGCCAACCCACCCCCATCCCATCCATAAACTTGCACATGATCAGGCATTCCTGTCCCTCCCTGCAATTATGAATCGTCTTTCTTTCTGCAGATTAAGACCAGCCTCACTCTACAAAGACGGACGTTGCTGAAAAGAATCTGTGAAATGTAAGACTATAAAAGGGTTTCAGTGAGAGCAAAGAGAGAAGTAAGGTCAGATGGTACCACACAGTGGGCTATGGTTACCAACTTCTAATTAGAACAGTACTTCTCAAGCTTGACATTCAGCTCAAACGGGGAAAAATTCTGTCAAATACCCTCTCTGTGCCAACTTAAATGTTTTGGTTATTTCACTCATAGAAGCATAAAATTAGGTCCATGTCCTATGGCGCTCGCTGCCACCCCGCTGGTTTCCTGGGTTCAACACAGCTACACCACAGTCATGTTCTGATGTCGGCTCAATTCTCCCTGTCTTCGTCACTTGGAGAGAGAAACTCGCGGTTATTTGGTCTTCACTGGGCGGAGGATGCCGTTGCCATATTAAGTCCATTTTGTCTCATCTTCTTAGCATGAGACCACTGGAGGATCACTTAGGCCAGTGGTCGGCAAACTGCGGCTCGCGAGCCACATGCGGCTCTTTGGCCCCTTGAGTGTGGCCATGAAGTTTCAATCGCACTGTACGTGCGCGCCCGCACGTGGTATTTTGTGGAAGAGCCACGCTCAAGGGGCCGCAGTTTGCCGACCACTGACTTAGGCCAACACAATCAAAGATGATTTCAAATCACCTAAGAGCTAGTCACCGGGCACTGGCACCAACCTCACTGCATGAGCAGATCCACTCTGAGCATCCAATTCTCCCTCTCTGCCACACACACACACTCAGGTATCTCCCAGCTTGAGAAAAACTTCCTCCAGGACCCATGTCCTTGCTTAGCTGCAGCCACGTTTCTCTGCTTCTTTTCCCAGCAAAACCCCTTTGAAGAGTCGCCCCTAGACCTCACATTTCTTTCCTCTCCTCCACAGGACACCCATACCCACTCTCCTGGCACACTTTCGCCCAGATCACCAAGGGCATCCACTCCGCCAAACCCACACACACTTACTGTCCTCCTAGCACCTGCCCTCCACAACTCTGGCTGCGTCCAAGCAGCCCCACGTGGCCCGCGGGCCGTAGTTTGCCCATGGCTGTCCTAGCATCTGCCCTCCACAACTCTGGCTGCGTTCAAGCAGCCCCACGCCCTTGCCACTTTTATTGAGACCACATTCATTAGAGGTCAGAGGACAGCCTACCTCAGCAGCCAATCCTCCAAGGAGGGCAGGCCAAGGTCCTGCCCTTGACCTCTCTCTAGTCCTCATCATCTTCCCGAGTCTCAAGGCCTCACATGCCAATCATATGCTAAGGACACTAATGTCCCATCTCTGGCTCTGACAGCTCCACTGGGTTCCAGACACTTGGATCTCTGCCTGCTGCCACCCCGTGGATGCTTAGTAGGTACAGTACTCTTAACCTAACAGACTTTTTTATTTCCCCCCAATCTTGTCCCTCCCACAGTCTTCCCCTGACAACCCACTTAAATGTTCATGCCAAAAATTTTAGGGGACATCTCCTATCTGTTCTATCAAATGCCAGGCAATTCCTCCAAATATATGCCAAATTCACTCCACTGCACCCGTCCTTGAATCCCAGCCTGTCACCCATCGCCTCCTAACCAATTACAACTAGGGTTTCTTGACTGGTCTCCCTCCTTTCGCTCTTGTCCTTCCCCAACAATCCCTTCTCCACTGAGTCACTTCAAGTCACACATCAGATCCTGTCACTCCTGTGCTGAAAATCCTCCAAGGGCTTCCTAATGCACTCAGAAAACCCCAGCGTCTCCCACTTTGTCCTGTTTTTCCCTCTGCCCCTGCTGCCTGCTGGTCCTCGTCTCCACCCAACACACTCTAGCCAAGCTGGTTTTCTCTGCTCCTCAATCTTGTCCCTATCTCGGGGCCTTTGAGTTTGCTATTCCTGCCTGAAATATTCTATCCCCAACACTGGAGTCACTGGCAGCACCTCAGCTGAACTGCTGTATCCCATTACACTGTGGGTTCCTGGAGAGCACCTGCACCTCTACAGGGCCTGGGGTGCACTATGCCCCTTGAACCAGGACACGAAATTTGCAAACACATGTCATAGTCTCTCCCTGATGCAGGGATGGCAAATGCTCAAAACACACATCACCCAGACTCACCACTACACCCACTCATTCCACATTTATGTTGGGCCTGATTCATGCTTAGAGGAGTTTTCTTTTGGGGAGAGAGATGCTGTGCTGCCCAGCTTCAGAAACCACGTCCTATGTTTGGGGATTCCCCATAGTGAGCGTTTTGATAGGAGGCTGAGCCCACCCTCCCACCACAGAAACCAAAAGTTTAAACAGAGAGAAAACAAGCCCCTCACACCCCTCCCCCAGCAGCAAGGGCTGTGAGCACAAGATTGTGGTTGGCCCATCTGAAGTTCCTTCCCACCAGGGACTGAAAGAGGAAGAGTGCAGAAAAGAATCTGCAAGTATTTGCATAGCAGGCCAGGGACTGCTATCCTTAGAAAGGCCTGCATGCAAGGCTGGCTCTTGGCTGGCTTCTGAAAACTTAAACAGCTCCCTCCCCTAAATGGCACACATGCCTAGACTGCGTGCAAACCACGGATTCATTTATGCTGAACACCTGCTTTCCTTCTAGGAGTCTGGAATTTTAGAACATGCCAGGCAGAGGGTGCTTCTGTGACCATCTATATAGGTGATGGCGAACCTATGACACGCGTGTCAGAGGTGACAACGCGAACTCATTTTTTTGGTTCATTTTTCTTTGTTAAATGGCATTTAAATATATAAAATAAATATCAAAAATATAAATCTTTGTTTTACTATGGTTGCATATATCAAAAAATTTCTATATGTGACACGGCACCAGAGTTAAGTTAGGGTTTTTCAAAATGCTGACACGCCAGCTCAAAAGGTTCTCCATCACTGGTCTATATAAAAACCTAAGCGACCGGACAACTGGATGACCTGACTAGACAACCGGCCAGTAGCTATGACGTGCACTGACCACCAGGGGAAGACACTCAATGCAGGAGCTGCCCCCTGGTGGTCAATGCGCTCCCACAGCGGGAGCCCAGCTCAGCTGAGAGAGGGAGCCAGATGCCAGGGTGACAGCTGGCGAGCACTGCTGCGGCAGCACCAGCACGTGCCTCTCCAGCAGACACTCCCCCTGCGCACCCTAGTGGCAGTGGCAGGGAGCGGTGGCAGCAGGGAGCGGCAGGTGTAGCGGGCCAGGATGAGCGGGCACAGCACCCAGCCCGGGCTCAGGCTCCTCCCTGGCTGCCTGCCACTTCGCGCACTACTTCATGCACTGTGTGGGATCTAAGCGGACGGTGGGTTAGAGTCCGATGAGCTGGCAGGAAAGGCCTGGCTGTGGCGGCACAGAGGTCCACTGATCCCCTCGTCTATATATATATAAAAGGCTAATATGCAAAGTGTCCCTCGGGAGTTCGACCGGGAGACCGGGAGTTCAATAGCTCGCTATAACGTGTGCGGAATGAAGGCAGGCCCCGGCCGGCAGCTGGCAGCCAGGGAAGGAAGGCCCCGGCCAGTAGCCAGAAGGCCCCAATTGGCCCTGATCACTGGCCAGTCCTAGGGACCCCACCCATGCACGAATTTCATGCACCAGGCCTCTAGTCTCCAATAAAAGCCTTGAGGACTGAGTCTCTCATGAGAATCCCCATGGACAACATTTCATCCATGTCTTCGCAACTACTGCTAGGAGTGCAGTGCATTGTGTGATGCCTCTGGGAGAAGCTCGAGCCTGGTTGTCTCCAAATTCATATTCCCTTTGCTGACTTACTCTGTTTTCCTTTCACTGTAATAAAACAAAACTGTGCATACAACAATGTCTCCGTCTATGAGTCCTTCTATTGAGTCACTGTGCCCGAGAGGGGCTGAGGGCCCCCAACAGGTAGGAGAGCTGATACTGCTGCAGCATCCAGATGGGGACCATGTCAGAGGGGGTTGGTGTCTGGAAGTCCCGAGGGCCCTGGTCACGTAATTCCTGTGGGTTCTCTGCTGTGATTCTAGGTGCCCAGCCTGCCTCGTCTGCCACCCAGGCCTGGCTCTCCAGCTTTCCAGGTCCTTCTGTGCTGCGTAAAACGTCTTCGATAAATCCCACTCTACTTCAATTTGGCAAAATCAGCCATAGTTGCTTGCAATCAAGAGTCCTAACCATCACCAATTTTGTACAAAAAGAAGTGCTACAAGTAAAATTGCAATGGCTGAGTTGGGGAAAGGGGTGGGGGTGTAAGGGTCCTGTAAGCCCCACAATCCCAGTCTGGGGAAGCTGGTCATTCTGAAAAGGCAGAGCAAAGGGAGCATGGGTTCAAGTGTCCCTGTTGTCTCTTAGACCCACACTGTGTGCCTCTTCATTCCAGGCTATTTTAAAATTGCCTCAAGGCAGCAGCAATGGGGATAAGCAGGGTATGGAGCCTGTGGTTAAGACAGAAATTCCCATTCCCAGAGATTTCATCTAGATAAGATCACTGGCTGCCATTACCCGCCCATGGAATTGACTGGAAGCAAACAAACCCGGAT